TGCTCGCCAGGAATGGAACTTGAGCCCTGGCATTGTGAGCTTGGAGTCTTGGCCCCTGGAGCACCAGGGAAGTACTTCTTCGGTATATTTAAAGAAACTAGAAGAACTGGAAACATGAACAAGGAATAAAGCGCTAACCAAAATGACCAGGTTTCTTCTTTCTTTCCTCTCGCTGAGCAATTCAGTCCAAAAGTTATTAGCAGAGGCCAAGCAATGAGGGTGTTTGTGGTGGAGGAGCTTTTGTGATCCTATATTATGTGGTGTCAGCTGAGGGCAGGGTGAGAAGAGCATCCACGTGGGGGATGGTGTCAGGGGCCTGATGTGGACTGTTAAGGGTCCAGGTAAGGCCAGGAGAGCAATTCCAGGGGCAAGGGGTGCAGAGTAGCAGTTGGCACAGCTTTTTAGAACCTGAGAGCATGTTGAGGATATTCATACAAGGAGGTCTGGCATGATGCTTCAGGATCTGATGACAGTAAGTAGGACAGCTACATAGGATGGCAAGTAACTTGTAGGTTGATTTGTGTCCTACAAAAATTCAGATGTCAAAGTCTGCTATAGACGTAGGGATTGTGTCTCCCCAAAGTTCATATGTGCACTCCTAACCCCACAATATAGTGGTCTGTGGAAGCAGGGTCTTTGGGAGTTGGTTAGGTCATGAGGATGGAGCCTTCATCAATGAGATGAGTGCCCTTAATTCTAAGAGAGACCCCAGAGAGCTCTCTTCCCCCTATGGCCATGTGAGAAAGAAGGCCACCTATGAACTAGAATGTAAGTCCTCATAAGACATAGAATCTGCCCCTGCCTTGATCCTGGACTTCCCAGCTGCCAAAACGGAGAAATCAACTTCTGCTAATTGTAAGCTACCCAGTCTATGGAATCCTGGTATAGCAGCTGGACTGGACGGAACCGATAAAAGTCTAATTCCTGGTACCTCAGAATGTGAACATAGTTGGAGATAAAGTCTTCACAGAGGGAATCAAGTGAGGAGGAGATGATGAAGAGTGGGCCGTAATCCAGTATGGCTAGTGTCTTAATGAAAACGGTAAATTTAGACATATAGAGATACATACAGAGGGAGAAGATGGCCACGGAGAGAGCTGTGGAACACATTCTCCCTCCCAACTTGTCGAAGGAAGCAGCGTTGCCAATACCTTGATTTGGGTCTTTGAGTCTCCAGAACTGTGCAATAGCAAATTTCTGTTATTGAAATCACCCAGTTTATGGTACTTGGTTAAGGTAGCCCTAGTGAACAAGTGCAGTAACCCAGCTCAGGCGTTTGGAGCCTGAGCTCCATAAGAGAGAGTCAATACAGTTGAGGGTGAGGGATGAGCAGGGTAGTGGTGAGGATGATCTGCTGTGGGTGTTAGAGCCTAAACTGGGTCAGAAGGATGTCTAGGCAGGACCCAGCCCAGGCCAAGTTGAGCTGATAAGAAACCAAGCAAGGTAGTAATCATTTCATAATGTATATGTATTTCAAATCATCTCATTGCACAGCTTAAAATATGCAGTTCTTATATGTCAATGAGATCTCAAAAACTGCTTAAATATCATATGAATGAGGATGGTGCAATATGCTATAGAACTAGACGAAAGGGAAACCTATCTGTACCTGAAAACTCTGTCCTGGGATTGGCAAAACATATCCTGGTTCCTGCCTCATTTTCCTAGAGTCAAAGGAGACATGGGCCTTTACGTGCTCTACAGATAAACCTATCACTAACTCTGGAATATGTTTGGAAAAAGATAGTAAGCAAGCATAGTGAAGAAGGCTTTCAGTAGGAAATGGTGGCAGGTTGAATCTTGGCAAAAAATGTGAGAGTCTAAAAGAGATGATCACAGTCTGAGTGGGAGCAGCTTTGGCCAGAGTGTCTGAGCTTGGGTGACGTGAGATGGGCATCCACAGGGAAGGGTGAAATCAGCCTGGATTGTCAGAGCCTACGTGGGGTGAGCTGAGGGTGGCAAAGGCAGGACTTAAAATCTTTTTAAAATGTGTTGGAACATCACACTGAGAACTTTAAAACAGTACTGAAATGGAGGAAATGTATTCATGTGTTTTCTATTTGTATAATCTTCTTTAATACATATTTTTATTTATTTATTTGATTGTGCCAGGCCTTAGTTGTAGTTTGCGGCATTTTCCATCTTTTTGCAGCATGTGGGATGTTCAGTTGTGGCATGTAGGAACTAATTCCCTGACTGGGTATTGAACCTGAGCCCCTGGCATTAGGAGCGTGGAGTCTTAACCACTGGACCATCAGGGAAGTCCCATTATATAGTTTTGATGCTTTGACATCTGGGGCCTTGCTGACACTGGAGGGACTGCCACTCTCAGGGTTGTTCAATTCCTAGAGTGAGTCAAGAAATCACCTGTGAGCATATCTTTCAAAGCAAGTCAACCAATTGAAAAGCCATATCCCCAGTCACTACTTATCTCCTCTACTGGGCTATCAGATTTCAGGCCACTGTCCACCTGCCCTAATCACACCAGGGCCAGGGACTAGACAACTAGGGACAGCCCCTATGACCCAGAGCCCACTAAAATTATTCAGACTAGCGATGTTCAGTCTGCTTACCTGCCTCACCAGTAGAAGCCACAATAAAGGTTCTTGCTCCCCATTTACCTGCTCCCTTTGCCTCCTGACCAACCAGACCATGTGTTTCCTCATGAGGTGCTCCCTCCGCTTGGGAACTGCTACAAACTATCTTTTCAATGGCAGTCATCTCCTAATCTCTTGGCCTTACCATACCTGAATAATAGTAAACCTATGTTAAGAAAACAAGACCTAAATTAAATGGATACATATGCCAGAATCATGAACTGGAAGGCTCCATATTGTGAAGCTAGCTGTTCTCCCAAAATAAATACATAGAGGCAACACAATCCCAATGAAACCCTCAGCAGTTTATGCATATGTGTGCATGAAAATTAATATGTTATTTCTGAAATTTATATGGAAATGCAAAGGCCAGGAATAACCAGGACAATCATGTCCTGGGTGGCTTATACCAGGAGATACCAAGGCCTATTATAAAGCTACAATAGTTAACTAAGTAGCCTACTTGTATGAGGATAGACAATTTAACCATGAGAACTGGACAGAGATTCCAGGAACAAACCCACATAGATAATCTGATTTGTGCTATTACAGGACACTAAAGAAAGGAGGAACCTGGTGGGCTGCCTTCTATGGGGTTGCACAGAGTCTGACACAACTCATGCGACTTAGCAGCAGCAGCAAACGACGGATATAGTTTCCAGTCAGTGGTACTGGGTAAATTTGGCAGTCCCCAACCTTTTCAGCACCAGAGATTGGCTTCGTTGAAAACAATTTTTCCATGGATGGGGGGTGGGTGCGGAAATGGTTTGGGGATGATTCAAGCGCATCTCATTTATTGTGCACTTTATTGCTAATCTAATGCTGACGTTGATCTCATGGGAGGTAGGAGGTACTGGTCTGGGGCACAGTGGGTGGGGACCCTTCATTAGATAACCAAATAGAACAAAAGTGCATGTTGTTCCCTGTCTTACCTTACACAAAATTTAATTCCAAGATGAACTGCTGATTTAAATGTGCAACTTGGAACAGTAGAATTTTCAGGAGAACATCTTCATAATAATGGTCATGGAAAAACTATGCAGAGGTAAAGAACAGATTATATGGAAAGACGAAAGAAAAATAGTAAAAATGCAAAAGGCTTCACCTTACTGGCAATCAAAGAAATGAAAGTGAAATGAATTATTAGGTACCCTTCTTGTTTGTCAGATACAATGGTTATAAAGTAATAGTTTACTTTTAGTGAGGGTGTAATGATATCAGCAACCTTATACTTTATTAACAGAAGTGGAAATTTATATAATTGTTCCAAAAATCAATCTGAGAAAATTGATCAAGAGTCTGGAGAATGTTCATGGCTTTGATACAATTCCAGTTCTAGAATTCTCCCCTACAGCATGAGCAGAAAAGCAGATAAACATATATAAGGAACTGTTTATAATAGCATCCCTTAAAGTAGCAAGGGCTTCCGCAGGGACTCAGAGGTTAAAGCATCTGCCTCCAATGTGGGAGACCCAGGTTCGATCCCAGGGTCAGAAAGATCCCCTAGAAAAGGAAATGGCAACCCACTCCAGTATTCTTGCCCGGAGAATCCCATGGACGGAGGAGCCTGGGAGGCTGCAACCACCGGGTGGCAAAGAGTCAGATACGGCTGAGCAACTTCACTTCACTTCAAAATAGCAAAAGAAATAGAAACAAATTAATATTGTCTAAATTGGGAATACTGTTCATGGGGTTCTCAAGGCAAGAATACTGAAGTGGTTTGCCATTCCCTTCTCCAGTGGACCACATTCTGTGAGACCTCTCCACCACGACCCGTCCGTCTTGGGTGGGCCCACACAGCATGGCTTAGCTTCCTTGAGTGAGACAATGCTGTGATCCTGTGATCAGATTGGCTAGTTTTCTGTGATTTTGGTTTCAGTGTCTGTCCTTTGATGCCATCTTGCAACACCTACCATCTTACTTGGGTTTCTCTTACCTTGGATGAGGGGTATCTCCTCACGGCCTCTTGAGAAACCTATCTGCAGGTCAGGAAGCAACAGTTAGAACTGGACATGCAACAACAGACTGGTTCCAAATAGGAAAAGCAGTATGTCAAGGCTGTATATTGTCACCCTGCTTATTTAACTTATATGCAGAATACATCATGAGAAACGCTGGGCTGGAAGAAGCACAGGCTGGAATCAAGATGCCGGGAGCAGCATGCAGGAGATGGGCAGGCAGGCAAATTGGGTGGGTCACAGGCCCACACTTAAACTTAGGTGGGGATGCCAGGAGCTGTGGGTAGGCCAGGCCCATGAAGGGAAGTACTCGATAGATGGCCCAGGCAGGCAGATCTCCCAGGACATTTGCAGGCTGCCTTAAGCCAGGGGGTGACGGCTCAGGCTAGAGCCGGCTCAGGCAGGCAGGGTAGAGGCCTGGCCCTGGGGCCCTTGCAGGGCTCCACTAGGGGCTGCCAATCGATTGGGGCCTCCCTGAGTGGCGGCTGGAACTCAAGATGTGTCTGCCAGCTAGATTCAAGCCCTCCTGGAGGCGGCCAGAGAGACAGTCATTCCTCTCCCCCAGGTGGTCCAGGCAGGTGTTGACCAGGTCCAACATGGGGTTGATGGCTGCCTGTACTGCTTTTTGGGCGGGCCGTCGACCTTGCCTTCCGTGCTGACGTCCACAGACACACCCTGTTCCACGTGGCCTCCAGACACTGCGGGCTCGTGCACCTGCAAGGCTCACATGGCGGCCGTAGAGTGAGACCACATGTTGGTCGCGTGGACGGCCGAGGCAGGGAGGGTGGAGGGCGGTCATTAAACCCTTGTGCTCATTGAAATTGTACTCCTGGGGGAAAAGAAAGCAAGACTGTCACAGGCTGTCCTGATTGAAAATGTGTCTGCTGGGTGGTGGGCTCGGGTATCTCCCCGATTATTCCCAAAAATCTTACAGGCTGTGGCTGTCAGCAAACTCACCTCTTCCCACCCAGGTCTAAGGGCCCCCCAGAGCTGCAACGTGTCATCTCCTGCCCGAGGGGTTGCTCAGGATGTGGAGGTCGAAGAAGGGCCTCCTTACTGTCATAATACCTGGAATTTACTTCTTTTTCTCAGGATTATGCCCTATTCCTGTTAATGAATGACGTATCCATTAAGATGTAAGCTACCTGACTTAGCTGTGTAAGTCCAAGTCAGCAGCCTGAAGAGAAACAGGCTGAGATTTGGGGTTGGTGGGGGTGGGTCCTACTTCACACCTCTCCTCTGAATACAGGATTTGCAGGTATTAATTCAAGAATTAATCAGTTGACACATTTTGTGTTTTGTAGGAGAACAAGGTTTTTGGATCTGGCGAAGACTTGAGAGGAGTGTGCGTCATTTTTTCCGTCTAGTGAGGGCTTTTTATGGGCCAGGCTGTATGTGTCTCCCTCAGAACTATTGCTGTGGGCATAAACGTGGTGCTGAAAGGGGATCTATGTGAATCAGTGGCTATCCTGGCACTCAGCAGTAGGGTCTCACTGCACAGGCACATGCGTGTAGCCTCCCAATAACTCCGGGACCATGTGTACACTGTTAGATCTCTGTTATTTGGGTGGAGATCAAGGATCTCTTAAATCTGTAAGACTCAGTGTTCCCCTCCCAACTCCACCACCAACACCACCACACACAAACACTTAGAGCAGGGGGATCCCTGCCTTCTTCTACCCTCCTTTTTCCTTAAATGTGGTGTTAACTTGGAGATGAATGACTGGGTGACAGGAAGTCAATAGGAAAAAGGGATGCATAGGGGCCTGCCCATTCTGGGCTCCTTTTCTCCTTATTCTGGTTCTTTCCCCCACCTCAGGTATGCCAAGACTGGAAAAGCAATGAGCACCTTTCTGCCAGTTTGAGAGTGACTGGTGGTCATCTCCTGACATTCGGGATGGTTCTCCAGGTACTGAGGGATTCTGGTGAATCCTGCAGCAAGGGTGAATCAGACTGGAGAGGCTGTGTGGATCCTGGAAGGCGCTAGGGCACAAGTCTCCTCCAGACAAGCAAATGCAGGCTAGTCTGTGCTTTGCTTCCTGTGCTGATGTCCTTTCAGCCTTCCTCTTCCCTCCCCATTCTTTTCACTTTCTGTCTCTATATCCCTCCAGCGATCATCTATCCATCTATCTGTATCCCAGGGACACAGGCTAGGGGCACAGGCTACAATTGCATCCTGGTCTCCAGCCACGATGGCACAGACATGAATTTCGGGTTCCTGCTATGGTCTGAGTTTGCTAATTCGGACAAGTGATCTGGGTCAACTTTGGGCAGCCATTACTCTTCCAGATGTAGGCCTACTCTCGGTGAATGACCCAAGTCCCAGAAGACGACCCACCACAATTTCTATACCCTGGCCCAGCCCTATATTTGTGGCAGCATGGAGCCCATCCAATGAGGGGAAGAAGGAGGGTGGCAACTGTGACACTAACCATCCACATATAGGCTGAACTTCACAGGTTAAGAGCACAGTCTGCAGCCAGAATGCCATCAGTTCAGAAACTAGGCACATGTCTGGTTTTACTAGGGACACTCTCACACTGACCAACCGATAGATGGGCCAGTGTCTTGATCAGGCAATATACAGAGGTAAGTTACAGAAGTGCAGTGAAGATTCGATATCATTTTCATTCAAATGTTATTCGCTCTGCCCTCAAATATTATTCAAACACATTGAAACAAAGAAATTAAGACACTCCTTTTCCCTGTAAGATGTACTATGATGATTGGAAAATCTAAAATTCAGAATGCAGGAGAACAGACAGTTTCATTCCATTCGTGGGTGGATTAAGTTTGGGAGACAGCTTTGGTAGGAAGTGTGCATATATTATATAAAGTTGAGAATGTGAATGACTTTCTGTGTGTGTGTGTGTGTGCCCATGCACACGTGCACAGCCGCACATGCATGCTGATGGACTGTAGTTCAGTGGGGACACTCATGGCCTGGGGAGAGTGAGGAGCATCCAGGATTTGGAGAGGTAGGCAAGTAGGGTGGGTCATAGGCCCACTCCTGATCCCAGGAGGGGATGCCAGGCGTTGGGGGTGGGGAGGCTTTCCAAGCATGCAAAAGGGAAGTACCAGAAGGATGGCCCAGGCAGGCAGATCCCCGAGGATATCTGCAGGCCGCCCTCAGCCAGGTTTTGAGGGCTCAGGCAAGAGCCCGGCTCAGGCAGGAAGGGTAGAAGCCTGGCCCCGGGGCCCTTGGCGGGCTCCACTAGGGGCTGCCAATCGATTGGGTCCTCCCTGAGCAGGTGCAGGATCTCAAGGTGAGTTTGCCAGTTGGATTCAAGCACTCTTGGAGGCGGCAAAGGAGGTGGTCATTCCTCTCCTCCATGTGGTCCAGACAGGCATTGACCTGGTCCAACATGCAGTTTATGGCGGCGGACACTGCTTCTTCGGCTCTGCCATCGTCCTGGCCTTTGGCACCCACATCCACAGCTCCATTCCATGGAGCAGCGGACAAGGCAGGCTCATGCACCTGCCAGACTCTCATGATATTGGAGTGAGGCCACGATGGGTGCTGAGTCTCCCTTTTCCTGCTGACCCTCTGTTTTGATCTGTTCTGCACACTGACACCCAAATGGGAGATTTGAAAAACAAACTGGATCTTAACGGAGTTTACCACATCCAACCCAAGTGTCCTTGCTATGGGCCTCTTATCTTTTCCCCTTTATCTTTGCACTTTATATCATTAACTCTCTTCTCCCATGAGGCCAGAAGGTGCGTTCTTCCCTGAGAAGGCCATACACTTTCACATTCCTGCTCCTGTGCACATGGTCCTCCTTAATCCTTTCAACTGCCTCCTCTCTTGCCCATGTTCCACGTCAACTCTCCTGCAACACACATTTCAGTCTGGTGCATCTTTTCTTCACAGACGGGCCTGAGACAGTCAACCAAACCTTCAGTATATTTTTGCCAATTTCTCTTATCAGGGCACCACCTGCGTTGTGTCTTCTGGTAAAACCATTGAGTGGACAAGGGAGTTTATGTCATTCTCATGGGGAATACCAAACACCACAGGGGATCCCCTAATGAAAGGTACTGTTTCAGTGTCCCTTTATGTGCTATTGAATCTTCATGTGTATTGCACTGAATATTGAGCTATATTATACCAGAAGGAAATGAGCGACTAAGCTGATGAATTGGAAACTGGTGGTAAAAGTTTTAAGAACAAGACATACGGGTTTAAATGTGCAACAGTTAATAAGTCAACAAAGACATTAGCATAGATGTAAACAATAATTGTGGAACAAAACAACTGGCAAACTGGCCAACACGTTGTAAGATGTGGATTACGTTCCATGAATGGTAAGTGGAAAAAGAATCAGAGAAAGTAGATTAGTGTTCGCAGAGCTAGCATGGAAATGTCTCCAGAAAGGAGATTGTATTTGACAAGAGACCTGCCTGGTGATAAGGTAACAGTCCTAATTAGTGTGTGTTAGTCGCTGGTCTAAGTGCTTTTCATGAACTCACCAAGGGTCATGGCAGCCTGATGACAGAGTTCTTATTAGGATCCTCACTCTACTGATTAGGAAACTGAGTCACAAAACAATGAAGGAGATTCAGCTGGTAGGAGGAATAATTGTGGCATGAATCCCAAGAGCATACAATAAGCCAATGTACTGTACACAGTAGGTAAGAAGATATGATTTCTTTCAGACAGACCATGACTGTGGAATGAGGTATCAGTGAGACAAGAATGAAAGGCAGGCCTTTCCTGGTGGTGCAGTGCTTAAAACTCAGTGCTCTGACTGCTGTGGGCCCAGAATCAGTCCCCTGGTCAGAAAACTAAGAACCCATAAACTGCGCAGTTAGAGAAGAGAAAAATGAAAAAGACTGAATGTTGGCACAGATCGAGGAGACACTGTGATCTGAAAGATACGACCTGTGTGGTAGTGTCATTGTAGGCCAGGGATTGAGAGGGTCCAGCATGTACCCATCTGCTGATGCCAGTCCGAGCAACAAGCCTAGGAACACATGGGAAAGGCTTGGCAGATCCTGGGGCAGGATTCACATCAATGGCCCCAGTCTTATTTCTCTTCCCTCCCCATGTGGATTCATCATCCGTTACTGATTACTGGACAAGGCCTGCAACAGCTCTCCTGCCCTCTGGATCTTTCTCAGAGGCTCACCTAACAACCCCAGTTCTAGAAGAGCTCACCTGTAAGCTTTCTCTGGGCTTGCAAAGGAGCAGCTAATCTAGTGGAAAAGAAACCCCTCTGAGCTAGTATCTGGCTGTTTGTTTCTGGTATCTTAGTTTCCTCACTTATAGTTTGGAACTAATTTTCATGTATTTGATTTTGCTGTTTCTTGCGTATTCTATTTCAGGACTATGAAGCCAAGTCTAGCAGCTGCAACTGGATGCAATGTTCCAGATTTAACAGTCAGAGTTATTCAAGAAAACAGAACCAATAAGAGACATTTTATATCTATATCTATCTATCTATATCTATCATATACCTATCTATCTATCTATATATTGGCTGTTTGTTTAGTCACTAAGTCATGTCTGACTCTTGTGACCCCATGGACTGTAGACCGCCAGGCTCCTCAGCCCATGGGATCTCCAGGCAGGAATACTAGAGTGGGTTGGCATGTCCTTCTCCAGGGGATCTTTCTGACCAAGGAATCAGGCCTCGGTCTCCTGCATTGCAGGCAGATTCTTTATGAACTGAGCTGTGAAGGAAGCCCATATATATATATATATATATATATTTATATATTTATATATTTATATTTATATATACACATATACACATACATCTATCTATCTATCTATCTATCTATCTATCTATCTTG